GGGGGCGGCCGCCGTGATGATGATAATCCTGTGCGAACCTTGCTGTGATACTTAATCTCCAGCAGGCCCCCTCCCCCTCCCACGGGCACTGTGTTCTTCCTCCTCTCTGCAGGAGGGAGGGAAGTGACTTGTCACTGCGGTGCTAGAGGACGTGACCCAGGCAGCCCCAGAGCCTGAGCCCAGTGTGCACGTCCCCCAGGGCAGAGCGGCGACCGGCCATCCCCGCTGCAGGCCGGCCGCTCACAGGATCAAGTCCAAACTCCTCGTCCTCCTGTGCCTGCAGGGGCCGCCTCCTGGTGCGGCCTTCCGGCGTCCACCCCACTCCCTCGCTGCCACCATGCACGCTCCCCGCACAGTCTGTGCTCCGCTCCCGGGACCCCCTCGAGGGCGGCCGGCCCGCTCCCAACATCTGGGTTCTCGGCACTCAGCGTGCAGCACGCAGCGGTGCTCGGCCCACGTGCGGGGATGGGGGGTGTCCTGAGGGCGGGTATAACCAGCCTCCACCTGGGGGCATTGGGAGCAAAGCCGCCCTGAGGACCCTCTCAACTCAAGCCCTGCCAGGAGGCAGGGACACCCCCAGACTGGCATGTGATCCTAATGGCCCCTGGGCAGAGTGGGGCACTGGGCCCAGGCAACCAACCTATGCTTACAGCGACCTTGCAAACAGGGCGAGCAGCCCAAGGGTCACCTGCTCATGGCCTGTGCGCTCCCGCCCAGCAGAACCCCCTGCTCAGCTTCCTCCAGCTCCCAGTAGCCCCTCCAGACCCAGCAGGGCCATCCCCTCTGCTGAGCCTTCCGTGACCAGGGTGGGGAGAGAGAATGTGCGCCATGGGAGGTCTCGGTGGGCAGGCGGAGGCAGGAGGCCCGGATCCCCTGAGTCACATTTCTGGGCCCCCGTTCCTCCACGGCAGTGGGCTGGGGCGGAACGGGAGTGCCATCGTCTCCCGGGGCCTGGGTCCCACACAGCCCACCCACCCGCCCACCCGCAGGCTGGAGGCGGAGCACAGGGGTTGCTGGGAGAACAGGCGAGAGTTCAAACTGAGGCCAGGACCAACACGCCCCGGGGCTGAGGAGGGTACGGGGGCGGGGGCTTCCTGGGGGAGGCAGCCGAGCCCACTTCCTCGCAGGCAGACCCTATTCCCGCTCTAGGCGGGGATCCTGGCCTGGGGCCCTTGGAGCCGGTGGACCAAGGTCTGCCCGGGCTGCTGGTCTCTGGGCCCGCTGGGGCTCAGATGCGGGAGTGGGGGCAGCAGAGGGAGATGATGTGTCACGTCTCAGCTACTCAGCAGGGGCGGTGCGGGGCAGGGCGCAGGGATTTCCGGGGAAAAACTGAGGGCCAGAGGCGAACGTCTGAGAGGGAGTCCCCAGACACGTCCTTGCCCTGTGACCAGCCCCGTGCTGCTGACTCGAGGGGACTATCACTGACCTGAGGAAACGTCCTTCACTTGCCTAGGCCTCAGCCCTGCCTCTCTGGGCAGCAGGCTCCCCGTCTGCAGGACTGGGGTACCATGGAGCTCCTGTTCCTCTGCCCACAGTGGCTCCCAGACTGGGGGCAGCTCTGAGGGGTGCTCACGTGATGCGGCGTGGGCTGCGTGGGAGCAGAGGCCGCTGGGCAGGATGCTCCTGCCTGGGGCTGGGTGGTGGAAAGTGCGAAGAACCTTGAAGGGTGCCCAGGAGCTCAGTGCTGGCCCACGGCCGGGTGGGCTCTGGGCTGAGGCTGAGCTGGGCCTGGACAGGCGGCTTCCTGGGGTGGGGTCAATGCCTGGAGGCCCAGTGGAGCCGCGGGGATCATGCGCAGGGCCTGAAGGGTGGCCCAAACTCCAGAGCGGCTCTGTGCCAGGTGCAGCTGTCTGCAGAGACAGCAGTCCAGGTCCCTGACCCCTAACTTGGAGGCTCCCCACCCCGGTCACTCATTCTGGGGTGTCTGGGCTCTCCCACTGCCCTCCAGCTCACACAGACCCAAGCACAGGCCCCAGTGACTCACCTGGGGCCGCAGTCAGCCAGCATCGGATGCCGGCAGGCCCTTCCCGAAGGCCAGGGCAAGGCCCATGTCCCTCCCCGCTCCCCTAGGCCAGGCGTTTGGGCAGGGGTTGAAACAGGTCCTGGAAGCGGACAAGACCCTGGCACAAGGGCTACTGGTTCCTGGTACTTTGAGGGGCATTGAGGGGACACAGGTCTTGCCAGGAGGCTGTGCAGAACACGGAAGAGGAGAGGCCACCCAGCCCTGCAACACTGCCACCAGGAGACTGGCCCTGAGAGCCCACCTCACTTGGCACCCCTCCAAGGACCCACAAAGCCTGGGGGGTGGCCTCGGGTGGCGATGGCAGTTCTCAGGGGTCTTTCTCGAGTTCTGGGCCCTTCGGGGAGCATGAGAAGCACCAAAGTGCCCGTGATGTGACTGCAAGGCCGGCAGGGCTGTGGGGGAAGGGCCCAGAGCCCTGGGGAACACACGCGCACGCATGCACACGCACACACACGCGTGCCCATGCGCTCTCTCTCCTTCCCCCTCCCTGACCCTTCCCAGGGACAAGTGGCCCTTTCTGCTGCTGGGTGGGGGTGGCCGCACACTCGTCCCTTTGTCTGCCTCGTCCAGGCCGCTGTCCTGCAGTCCTGAGCCCTGTGGCACCTGCCATGGGACTGGGAAGTGGAACCGGGCCGGGAGGGCCGCATGCGGGGAGGCCCAGCGGGCCCTGGGGAGCGGAAGGCGCCCTGGCCTGTCGGGGCAGCAGAGAGACAAGCGAGCACACGGGGCAAGTGTTTATTCCTCCCCCAGGCACAGTCGGGGCAGCCCGTGCCGGCTCAGGACCCGAGGGGCTCTCGGTGCGACGTGGGCAAGCTGAGGCCGAAGGCAGACACCAGGGGCCCTTGTGCAGTGACAGGCAGGGGTGCCGGCCACATCCCACAGGGCTGGAGGCCAGGCTAGGGCACGTGTGCCCGAGCCCTGGTGTCCTGCCCTCGGTCTTGGAGCACGCCCCAGCAACCCCACGACCCCAAGGCTCCTGCGAGGGGCCGAGGCACCTGAGAAGCTCTGGGGTTGAACAGCTGGGGCTCAAATAGCCCCAACAGGGACTGGCCAGGTCATCTGAAGAATGTCACTGCCCTCCTCGGGCTCCTGAGTGACACTGTGTTCTCACTATTGACACCGTAGAAGGCACTTCCGGAGGGAGGGAGGTGGGCGTGGGGGTGCCGCTCCAGCAGGAGGGGACGTGCAGCGCCCAGTGGGGCAGGAGCAGGCCAGAGTCCACACAGCAGGGTCACCTCTCCTCAAGCTGCTGGGTCAGCCTGGCCCCGTTGGCACCGGGGAGGGTGGGCAGAGGGGCCAGGCAGGGCCGGGCTCTCGATGAGCCGGGCCATCGGCTGCGTGTGGCAGCTGGGCCTCAGGGGTCTGGGAGTCTGCTGCAGCACTGAGCCCCTGGCCCTCCTCCTTGAGTCTTTGCTCCCCACCTCCCTCCCTGCTTGGGGCTGCACGGGAAGGGGTGAGACCTGAGCCCTACCACCTGCGCCCCTGGGCCTCAGCCCCCAAAAGAGACTATAGCAGTGGGGGCTTCG